GCAAGATGGGCAGCTTACCGTGATGCGTTGATGGAGGTTGGCGAGGATCCAGAGCTGCTACTTTTTCATGCAGAAGAGAAGGATTTCGTCAATACCTTGAAGCGTTTTCTGGAGGTGTTTGAACTTACAAAGCAGCGTGAAGAAGAACAGAGCGCCTTGGAAGCTATCACAGACTTAGTTCAGCCGCCTACATTTGATGAAGCAGAGGTGTTGGAGGTTCTGAGCTCTGCTGGAGCCAGTGACGAAGATGCCGAGATGCTGGAATTACTTTCGAGCGTTCACTTTGGGCCGTCACTGATGACCGCCATGAACCAAGACTCATACTGCGTGCAGGCGTTGCAGGACCCGGTTTTAATGGCCAGCATGCAGCAGGTACGGCTGGTGCAAGCGCTGGTTTTGTAATAGCCGTGCAATTCACGTTTGTGGCGATGTTGTGCTGCAGCTCATGGCCAACCCAAAGGACTTTGCGATATCGGCAACACTTCAAGGGCCTGTAGTGCGGGAGTTTTTCCTAAAGCTGATTGCGCTCTCCTGTAAGTCCGACAACGGTACAAGTTTTTTACTTGCTTGAGTACACTGATCTTTATTACCGGTATGTTAATGATGTAGTTGCGGTGCAAGAACAGAGTGACGAAGAGTGAGCTCTCAGAACTCGTAGGCATGAGAGTGTTTATCCATCTATAAATGATAAGCCACGGAGCCAATCTATCGTTTGAGTCCATTTTTATTCTTTTTGTTCGCTCTTCGCCATTCTGCACTCAAAAACGCTGCCGATATGCTTGCCGTCTAGTAACGGAAGTAGAGACCAGTGTCTTCGCGCTCATCGCCTTTTTGTGGCAGACCAGTCTCGCCCACGTCCCGCAGGATCTTGTAGCGCTCCGTGTCAGCCTCGTACTCCTCGAAGGTCTTAGCGCACTCGTCAGCGTACTGCTCCGCCAGTTGCGCGTACTCGGACGAGCACTGCTGCATGAATTGCGTCTCCTCGGCCGTGAGGTCGCGCAGGTAGCGAGCGGGAACACCCGACCAGAGTTGACCCGAGGGCACCTGCTTGCCTTTCGTTACGATGGATCCAGCCGTAATGATGGACTTGGCTCCAACCACAGCACCGTCCAGTACCTGTGCGCCCGTGCCGATGATGCAGTGGTCCTGGATGGTGCAAGCGTGCACAATGGCGGCGGGGCCAACAGTCACGTTGTTACCAATTTTGGTGGGGATGTCCTTGTGGATCTTAGCCACGTGCACCACGGCCTGGTCCTGAATGTTTGTGTTCTCGCCGATGGTAATGTGGTTCACGTCGCCACGCACAGTGGCATTGTACCAAATAGAGCTGCCCTTGCCCACCTTAACATCACCGATGACAGCCGCGTTGGGAGCCACAAACACACCCTCCTCGAACTTGGGTGAGCGACCCAGGTTCTTCACGGCGCGTGTGGAGGGATTCACTGCAAGTAAAGGCAAGAGTTAGTCATTTGTTGGACAGAATCCAAATCCAATCGAAAAAAGCTGAGGGACTCCTGCCGTCGTCTAGCTTACAGTGCTCCGTGTAGGCGAGCTTGCCCTCCAGCGAGACGCCGACGCGGTCGATCGTCTGACCCAGAGACCGGATGGCCTTGCCTGCCTGTTTCGACCACATGCCTTTTGAGTCTCTCTTAGTTCCGCTGGTGCTGGCCTCCCGTTCGTGCGGTCAAGGGAACAACACCTCTACAAATCATAAAATAGATCCGATTGGCTATAATAAGACTAAGCAAGCGCATAATATTGATGTTCTGCACACGAACTTTTTTATTTTTTTTTTTAAGAGAAAGATCAGCGATGAAAGCCGTTGCCGAAGGAGAAGTGCTGCGCGACTTTGACTACTCCGTGCGCGTCAATGTGGCCAATAGCTCGATCTGCGGAGACCGACAGAGCTCCGTTTTACTTAAGCTTCGTCTAGAAAAGTCTGATGGGTCGGAGCGACAGGTTAGCAGTAGTTTACTGCAACAGACCAGGGCAATTAATACTTGATGACTCAAATTGTTTTTTGCCACCGGTATGGTGCAGGTGATGCTGGAGTTGAATGGCAAGCAGCTCGCTCTCTTCCGCAAGGACTTTGGACGAATCCACCAAGAACTACAGAAACACTCGTAAATAAAATCAAAGCGCTCATGTATTTTCTCTACTTCCTCCACCATCCTTCGGCCGGCGAGGACGCAGTTGCACCAATCTACTCCGCCATCTTCACGCACGCGCTTCAGTCCTCCCATTCGTCTATAGCTTAGTCATCCATGAAGAAGAAGTTGCCCGAGCTCTTCTGCTCAACATCCTTTACAGAGTCGTACTTGTTGATACGCGGGCGATAGTTCGTAGGATCCCGTCGGAACGTAATCTCAAGCTGCTTCAGGAACGTGTTCATTCCCGTCAGCAGGCCCTGCGGCGCGTGTGCCGTACACTCGATACCCGGTTTACCGTCGTACACAACCACACGGTCGGCCAAATATGTCGCCATGATGAAATCGTGTTCCACGACGAACGCCGTCTTCTTAGCGTGCAAGATGAAGCGCTTGATAACCTTGGCGGCAATAATACGCTGCTCGGAATCCAAGTAGGCAGACGGCTCATCGATAAGGTAGATGTCAGCAGGCTTACCCAGGCACAGGATGATGGCCACACGCTGCAATTCACCACCAGATAGATGAGGAACGGCCTGATCGATAATGTTATCGAGCGCCAAGGGTTTAGTCACATCCGTCGCGAACTGCGGATGCACGATAGCCTCACGGATACGGCGATGCAGCAGCTCACGCACCGTACCCTGGAACTTAGGCGCAATCTTCTGCGGCTTGTAACTGATCGTAGAAGAATCGTAGCGCAGAGCACAGTTCGACATGGCCTCGTCGTCGCCAGCCTTCTCAGCAGCCTCCATCTCGTCAGACTTGAGCAGACCAGCAAGCATACGGATGAACGTCGTCTTACCGGTACCATTCTCACCAAGCATACAGATAATCTCCGAGTTAGTGAAGTCGCCAGCCTTGACGTGCAGCTTGAAAGCAGTGTCCTTCTTCTTCTTGTACATGGTCTTAGTCATCGCTGGGTAGTTGAACGAGTTGGCATCGCCCTCGCCTGTGCTAAACTCGTCAGCGTTCTGCGACACCTTGAACGTGAGCTCCTCGGTACGGAAACGCAGGTTCTCGGTGGGTACAAAGCCTGCAAGAAAGATGTTGATACCTTCACGAACGCTGAAGGGCATGGTGACCACACCGTAGGCCGATGGGGTACCGTACAGCACGCAGATAAAGTCGGACAGGTAGTCCAGCACACTCAGATCGTGCTCAACGCAGATGACGTACGAGCGGGCATTGTCGTCCACCATGGAGCGGATCACCAGAGCGGCCTTGAGACGCTGGCGCACATCCAAGTACGACGACGGCTCGTCAAACATGTAGATATCAGCCTTCTGCACGGCCACGACGGCGATTGCGAAGCGTTGTAGCTCACCACCCGACAGGTTCTCGATCTCACGGTCCTGCACGTGCGACAGATCCAGCTCGTTCAAAAAATGATCCAGCTTATCCTGCTTCTCGCAACGGGCCGACAGGATGCCATGCACCGTTCCCTTCACTGCCTTGGGGATCTTGTCCACGTACTGCGGCTTGGTGATGGCCTTGAGGTTGTCCTCAAGGATACGCGTGAAGTAGTTCTGCAGCTCTGAGCCGCGAAAGTGAGTCAGAATCTCCTGCCACTCGGGGGGCGCGTCAAACTTGCCAAGGTTAGGCTTGAGCTTGCCAGCGAGTATGCGCAGTGCCGTGGACTTGCCGATACCGTTAGTACCGACGAGACCAAGCACCTGGCCAGGACGGGGCATGGGCAGACGGTGGAGCTTGAAGGTGTTGGCACCGTAGCGGTGCGTGGTGTTACTCTCCAGGTCCTTGGGCAGATTGATGATGTTAATAGCCTCGAACGGGCACTTCTTGACGCAGATACCACAACCGATGCAGAGCTGCTCCGAGATGAAGGCCACCTTGCTTTTAGGCCCCACCTCAATACAGAGCTTTCCCATGCGCACTACGGGGCACGACTTCTTGCACTCCTGACGGCATTTTTTGGGCTTGCACTTGTCCGTGCTGACGATAGCGATACGAGTCAGCTTGGCCGACATCTTTGCCGAAGTTCCGTTCCGTGGGTCCTGTCGTGAACTGAAGGCTGGCTCCCCCTTGGCTGTTGACTGGTTCAGCCCGAGCCGTCGTAGCCTATCCCTGGTTATACCCGGTTAAGTGCGATTCAAAACGGCAGACTGTTACCGGTATTAAAGTTGGCGACGGGAAAGTGGAGCGGAAACACAAGCTACAGAACGTTAATGTAACTTAAAACCAGCAGTGGACAATGCCATCGACGCAAATAAGTTGTCGGCATTGGAAAATGAAGCTATATGCACTGGCAAAAATCATGACCCACTTGAGGCTTAACTCTACTGATCTAAGACCATCGAGGATGGTGCTTCCGCCGCCGCAGCATCCTTCTGCTTGGAGACCGACACATTGAGCAGTGCCTGGTCCTTCAGCGCTGCCGCGGCCGGCTCGATGAGCGTGATATTCTGTTCCAGCTCGCGCAGGTCGCGCGCCTTGGCCTTGGCCTTGCTGTCCTTCATTCGGTTTTTGTAAAAGGCCGCCTCGCGCTTTTCCTTGATCTGCGTAACGCGTTCGATAGCATGGATGGTAGCGCCCATGAGCTCGCGATCATACTTTACAGCGCGGTGGCGCTGTTTGTCGAAGTCAAACGTCGTGTCCAGGGCCATTTCCTTGCCAGCAGCCTTCCGGAAAGCCTTGGTCCATTTCACCTTGCGCGGGTTGCGCTTGCGGTTGAAGTTCTTGTGGCACTTGGAGCGACAAAAACGGAATATCTTGCTATCATTGCGCACAAAAGTGATGCCGTGGCCTGGGTAAACAGGGCTGGAGCAGAAGTAGCACGTGTGAATACGCATGGCTGCTGGTCGCTTGGGCTGGGGCTGCTCTAGTACTGCCAAAAGACGACTTGCTTCTCTGTCAGCAAAAATGCCTGATTGGATGGCTGGCGACGAAGAGTTTCGTGTCGTGGACCACACAGAAATGCATTACAGTTTGAGTGCAAATTTGTGGTCATCGCCTTCGGATTTTGGAGAACTTTATAAAAATTACTGAAGTACTACGTGGTACATGTACTTGTAATAAATATTAGTACATGAGATATATAATCTAATACTGTATCGTAGTAAATACTAAACTTCATGTACTAATATGTACTTCAGTAGGTAATATATCCGATATATTACCTTTAGAGGAAATTCGCAGGGCTCTATAAGCGTGCAGTGCAGTGCACCGTGCACGGTGCATGTAGATACCCACGAAGTTGCGGTGCTCTATCAACAATACCGGTAAGGAATAGCGGGGCACATAGGGCATCTGCTAAACTGTAATTGCTCCCCACCAACCGTCGACAATTGTGGGGTTTCGCCAGCCTTCCTGGTTGGCTTCAGCACAAGGTTTTCGCCCAGAAACCCACAACTCTCACTTTGTAAGAAAATCTAAAGACCTCTATTAGCCTTTAGCTTTTGTGTGAATGTACGCGTGCTCTCAAACGCGTTGCTGATCCCTGCCTTGAGATCGCTTCCTTCTTAGAAAAAAAATAGTCGCCTACAGGCAGCTTCCCGGTGCGCGGGTACTGCGGGTCAAAACATTTCTCGCTGCTGATTTGGCAGGTTAAACAAAACCGTCCATTATAGCTTGGACAGAATTACCGCACTCGGGAAGAGAGGAGGTCGCTCAGCGCCATCGGGCCCTTCGTCTCGGACTCACGGAGGTCATCTGCAGTTAGCACGTCTTGCTTGACATGCGTAGCCGCCTCCTGCTCCACGTTATCGCGGTGTTGCTTGATACGCTCAGACACAGCGGTGAGGTTAAGATCAGTCACATCGGACATAGTGCTGTCCGCCAAGTTAGGTCGATGAGTTGCGGCGACGATGCCACCTGATCGCGGTCCCGTGGAGTCCACCTCGTCTTCCATGATGTCATTAAACATAATCTGACCGGGTGGGGCACTGGTCTGATCGTACGGAGAAAGCTTGGGTGCGAAAACCTTTGGTGTGTTATCAAGACCCGTGTAGTTGCCCCGGCCAGTTCCTGGCGTTTCGATGGTAACGCTTTGCGGCGTAATGTCTCCAGCGTGAAAGCTGTCATCATCCACCATGACACCCTTGCGATCCAAGCTTTGGCTGCAAATTGGTCCAGCGAACTGGATAGGACTGCCGCTCTTCTTTTGGGCTGCGGTTGAGCTGCGGCGCCCACGATTAAGCGCACTGAGGTAGGTGCTGCCGCGCTTCTGGCGCATAGTTTCTTCATGCATGCTGAGCATGGCAAACTCCTCGGCGTCATCGTCGCTCACAACCGCCACGCCGCCTGCGGAATTCATTCCTGTGCTTGAAAAGCCGAACATACCACGGCCCTTCTTGGAGTTGTTGCGTTTGTTAGCAGTAGCCTCGGGGTTGCGGTCAATTTTGGATCGCAGCGTCACAAAGCCGATGACTGCCAGAGCTACGACCACAATGCCACTGATGACAAGCACGCAGATGACTTCAGTTGATACGCCTGAGCTGCCCGAATCCCCCGTTGACGCGGCGTACGGAGTGGCGGTGGTATCCGCTACTGTGGCTCTTTCCCGCGAAAGGACCTGAACGTTGAGAAAGACAGCGTAGTCGTATCGTTTGGCGGTTGGGGTGTTGCTGGGTAAAATCAAGTGCGCCAGTAAGGTGTAGTTTCCTGGTTGGTTAAACGACAGCTCCGACGAGTCGAACGTCGCTAGTCCGTCTGTAAAGTTAAGCGGAATATTAGTCGTGTTCTCGGTCAGCTGTGATCCCGTCGTCACAGGGTTGCAGTCCACGCCGTATAAACAAGTCCGTAGACGCGAAGCGGTGATCTCAAAGTAGTTCTGCGAGATGCGGTCGAGTCCAGCCGCCAAATCGGTCACACCAAAGGTATTTGTCTCTATGGGGCCACTCGACGTAAGGCGCTCCGTGGCGTTCCATGATATGTCTACCGAATCGTATACGTACACGTCGTCCGTGGGGAATGCGATAGATAGCTTTAGCGGGCAGCCGTCGCCCTGCGCACTGACCATTTTTACCGATGACCCATCCACCGTGTTGGAATATATGGACGTATCGACTTCCCAGCAGTATGTAGTCGCTCCATCCAAGACGAAATCGCTCGAAGACGACGCCTCCGACGTCGCCGCAGCCACATTGGCCAGCATCATGACTGTCACGACGAAAGGTAGCCAGGTCTTGTTCATAGTTTTCTTTCTGATCAAGCATCGACACCTGCAAAAATTCATCGTAGTTTACTGTTGTTGTTGCTGCCTGTCACCTATGAGGTCGGAACACCGCTTTTGCGTATGAGCCGATAGTGTTTAATACACTTCCTCCGCTTCGGAGACCGATTTTTCTCTGCGGAGGGTGTCGCCTATCTGTGCTTTGTGATCGCTCAATCGGCAGGCTGCGGGGGGTGCTTTGACCGCTCCGGCTTTAGGGGTACGGCTGCATTTTGCAGTTTTTGATTGGCAAAAACTTTGAAAGATTTTTTTTTATTACAAACTAAACTCAGTGATTGGCTGGAAACTTCATAAGAACTGAGTGCGTTGACAGTTACACATGGAATATCGGCCATCTGGTGGAAGGAGGACAACGCTGGGCAAAGCTTCTCTGGTCAGGCCCCACGGGTCAGGCGATTCGCCAAGCTTGCTTCTACAGTTGGGCATGCGTGATAATTTAATACTTCACTGTACCACTGGAAACGCGTAATTCTCACATTGTATTTGCAGAGTTACCGATACGTGCAGCTGAATAGGATTACAACAGTACATGTATTAATTGGTGTTTTGGTGAGGTCGATTTCCAAATAGGAGTCCACTGTAATTTATCAATTGAGTTCATCTCGAAAGCCGACCCTTCGAACTTTTTTCCAGGCTCGAAGCTCCAGAGCTTACGTGAAGAGGGCCAATGGACTCCAATCTTAGTAGCCAGACCACGCAAATCACAGACGTCAGTGGCTTCAGGCCGAAAGTTTCGAAACCATTGTCGTGATCGTTTCAAAGTGGAGGAATTAAGTAATATAAGTAGATCCGGGCCACTTTTGCAAAACGTAAGTACATGTAGTTCCTTACTATCTACTTATTTGTAAAGCTTAATACGGAATAATACGCATAATATTGAGCACGGTATATGGAAATTACTGTAGGATAAGCAATTATTTTCCAGACAGAGAAAATCTTTATCCTAGCCCTTACAAATTTTTGATCGATACGCCCAATCAATTCTTTGCATTTTGTGTTTTGACCAATCACAGTCCATCCCTAAACATTTCTAAGATGTTCCCATTATATTGGGAAAACGTGCACATTACCGAATAATGATACGTACAAATGTCAAGTCTAAAGCTGGATTATTAAAATAACTGCGACTCTCCCGAGTTCTCTCCACGCGACTTTGCCTTTTAAAAAGACGCAGCGCAGTGCAAGAGGACTCGACGTCCCGCAAGGGACGGCAGTGCAAAAAGCAGCAGCAATGAAATGCTTCGGGGAATTCCTAGCTCTCGGTAACATAAGGGAAGAATTCATCGCCACGATTGCGAAGTCGTTGTCTAGCTCTGATGCTTTACCTAGCCAAAATTTCTACTCTTTGCTAACCGCTTTCTCTATTTTTCTGCAAACGAAACAAAGTTATCGAGGCAGCCAGCTCGCCAAGGCTACCGCAGTTGGCTATATGTCACAGGTAGTCAATCTGCTGAGAGAGCGGTATCCGCAGCTTATGTCAGACAGCAAGCGAATTGGGAAAATTAGGGATAAAATGGCTGCTGCTATTGAGGAGCGGAGCTTACTAACCGGTGCACAAACAGGAGAGGCACCTGGGTGCACGCTGGGCGACCTACGTCTGCTAGTCCAGGAAACTAGTATTAAGGGGGCTGGAAATGGCTACAAGCGTCTACATGATGCTGCTGTATTAACTCTAATGTGGCACACCTTTGGTCGCGCTATTGATACTTGTTTCGCCAGAAAAACTCAGGTCTCCATGTCAGCATCGGGCGAACTGTTTTTGCGTGTGGCAAGAATCATAACGTCTGTAGTACAAGGGATTGTCATTTACAAAGCGGCCGTACACTGGGAGCAGTGCATGCTACATGCACTGGGTATGCTCTTTGTGGGTGCTTCTGAGCCATCATGTTACGTATTTCCACTAGTACCGCACGTGGCTGCGGCTGATTTACCTGAAGAGAAGACGTGCAGTCAAGACGAAGCGATTCTGTATTGGGAAAGCCTCGAAGAAAACCAGGACTCGAAGGAGCCTCCAGCAAAGCGTGTTAGAGGAAGACCAAGTGTAGCCAAGTACATCAACGACATCATAGCCTCGGTCACCGACCGACTCTCAAAATCCTGTGCCCCACTGCCTTCCGAACTTACACCTGGGCTCACTAGTCACTTGAGGCGGGGTGCAGCTGCCAATGCGAACGCGTCACCGAAGCTCGCAATTCAGTGGATCTCGACGCGAGGGGCGTGGCTGCTGGGCTCTCTAACAAAGGCGTTCGCTTACGTGGGCACCACCACGAAGGAGGACCAAAGCGTTGGCAAGGTGCTTGCGGGGTACCAGGATCCGCATCTGCCTTGCATAACGCCGTCGATTGTGTCCTTGAAGGCGCAGCTACCCGACCTCGAATACGCCCAGCTTCTAGCACTGCGGGGGCTGCTTTTCAAAAATATGTCGGGTTTCACGGATGTAAATCTGAACGTTGACGGTGCGGTACTGGATGCTGCAATGGCGGCGCTCTTCATTCATCTCGAGGAAGTCGCAACAGCAGTTGCAAATGAGCAGGGCACGTCTGGGTTCACGTCGCACTACGTGTACCGATTTCGCGAAGCTCTTGAAGCCACCAACACCACCCTGGGAGCTCACTTGACACTAGATTCTTGTATCAAATGAAGACGACAGCTACGAGTGTTGTGGGAGGCGGAGAATCATGTTCAACTCGGAAATCGAAGTGGCGGTGACACAGCAGCGCTTAGTGCTGCCATCACGCAAATGCTGGCTTCGATTGGAGCAATGCAGCAAACATTGCACAAGCTTGTTGCCATGCACGAGGCACAGCCATGTAGCTCCTCCTAACCGCCGACTTGCAGCTGTAGTACATCCGGTTCTAGTGCTCCACTTCCTCCACGCCAGGATGACGTCGTTGTCGAGGCTCACACGTTGGCTGGATGCTTCTTCAATTGGCTCACACATGAGCTGTGACACACGGCTACGCAGAAAAAGCAGCAGTTTGTGCGCGCTGATCTGAAGGCCTGCATTATCATCATGATGGGTCACCGGTGGACGTGATATGAACATACCTGCTGCGCCGGTTGAACGAAATGGAGTCTCATATCGCATGTGGAAACAGACGCTCTGGACGCTAGCGGAAGACTTGGACAAGAAGGCCAATTGCAAGCTGAGAAGTATTGACGGAAAGATCACCTCCAAGACAGCAGGCTCTTTGAGGAAGCGTTAGAGGAAGCTGCGACTTGAGCATCAACCGGAGTACAAAGCGCTGTGCTCTGCGTACATCCTTCGCAAAGCCGCCAACGGTATCGTCGACCAGTGCACACCTGACACACACATTTGGAAGCAGAAAGACTTGGCGTTGTAGGCTCAGTTCAGCTCTTGCCTTCATTTAAACGCTTAAATTGTACGCCTATACATATATATTTCACAGTAAACACACAATCAACAGTCTTGCGGTGAGTACACACTGTTAGCAACCCGTCAGCTACACGAACAAAGCATTTTACGCACCCCGAAGACGTTGCTAGAACATATAATGTAGCCGTTGGGGCGCGAAATGGGCAGCGTTTCACCAGCCCTGCCGGGTTTGATCCAGCTTTAACAGCACGCGAGCGCTGAGCTGCGGCTTCGCCCTGAACGTCGGCGCTTCATCCTTAACGTCGGCGCGTTGGTGCGAGTGCCTGGCTCTGCGTGCTTGGCTGCTCGTAGGCGCGCGTGCGCGTGCGTGGCTGATCGTCGGTGCGCGTGCTTTTCGGGCTGTGGGGGGAGTGGCGTGCCTCCTTTTTAGAAAACCTTAAGGTTTGGAACCGATAATTCTGCTCATACTTTACTCAAGTGGTTTGGCGGCTGTTGACTAATTGGCTCCCAGTTTTGGGAACACGCTTTGGAACTCGTGCATTACTGCGTTGTATTCGTTGGCGTTGTATTTTTTAGGTAAGCGCAGACAGCTCAAGACCTGAGTCAGGTGGCCAAGACACCTAGTTTATTGATGATGCGACAGCGAGATGAAGCTTCCTCGCCACCATTGCCGGAAGCATGAAGCGCTTATACGCCAACCCAGCTGACGTAAGTGCTTTTTGGCACGTGATGGAATACCACCACCTTCATTCTTTATCCAGTGGATGCACGCTGTTTTAACATGTAAACTGATCTCGAATCTATGACAGCAAATTGAGAATGATCGTATGTAAATGGTAGGAAATTATTAGCTGAACTGATTCTAAGAAATTCAAGAATGCTATTAGGAGGGCGTTATATTTCGATAGGGGAGCCTAGTCGCTAATAAGATCTGCAACCAGCTTCGTGTTTTCAAAACCCATTTCTATTATTGTGAAACCAATCAAGATTTCCAAATCATATGCTAATAGAACGATTTAAGGTGTTGATAAACGCGATTTCTATATATAAACGGATTTTCAGATATTTTTAGGATCCACACGTCTGAATTAGAGTCCGTTTTATAATAGATTGAGACGTTCAAATAAATATAGATTTCTCGAAATGCCCATGCACGGCTGGGCATTCCAAGTTGAGTAACGTATATAAACGAAGACAAGGGCTTGTGTTGCAGTTAAGGTTGGCGAGTTCGGCCACACTAGTAGAACAAGTGTGCCCGTTCAAAATGCCAACTTCGACTTTGATGAAGAACAAGATGGCTTTGAGCAAGTGTACGCTTTAGCAAACGAGAGAGGGTAAAGTTAGCTTTGGCAAACTACTCTACGAAGACGACTCAGTCCGACAAGGAGCTATACTTGAAGCCAAGTCAACATGCAACTGAGCGCAGTTCGTGGCGCTAACTAGTGAAAATTGGTATAAAATGCTGGCCAAGGCTAGAGCCAACTACCACAAGCAGAAGACCTCTGATGGTCCGTTTGTTGTGCACGTGTTGATGTACGCAGCTGAGGAACCACGACAAGGCATTCGTCGTGCCACTCCAGCTCGCATT